TTCATCATCCTTATCAATATCTTCATCATCCTTATCAATATCTTCATCATCCTTATCAATATCTTCATCATCCTTATCAATATCTTCATCATCCTTATCAATATCTTCATCATCCTTATCAATATCTTCATCATCCTTATCAATATCTTCATCATCCTTATCAATATCTTCATCATCCTTATCAATATCTTCATCATCCTTATCAATATCTTCATCATCTTTGTCAATATCTTGAATATCTTCATCATGTTTGTCCATATCTTGAATATCCTCATCATCTTTGTCCATATCTTCATCATCTTTATGAATATCTTTATCATTACTTTCCGTTCCGCAAGAGATTTCAGCATCCTTATCTTCACTTGTAATTTCATCTTCATCACTTTTCTCTATTAATTCATTTTCATGAGAAAGTTCTGGTGATAGGATGTCATCTGTATGAAGTCCTTCGGCAGTTCCCTCTTCGGCAAAACGAACCAAAGCCTTCTCTTGAGATTCCTGATCAGCTTGCATTCGCGCCATTTCCGCCTCAAGGATTGAAAAATCCTCCGAGTCTTCATCTTCCTCGTCGTCATTCAAAAATTCATAACCGACTTTCCAAAAATTCAGATCGTTGAACTGCAAGAAGAAAGGAACAAAACTGAAGAAGATAGACATCGAAGTGATGACGCATGGACGCATGAAGGGCATTTGAGTCGTCTTCTGATCCGCTGAGCGTTTTTGGTTTCTTCAAATCAATCAATCAAGGATCCAGATGAATATGAGAAGATCAACGATGGGATCCTACCAGAGGAGCAGCCGCGAGAAGTGACCCGACAGGATAAAAATTGTTATCGGCGTCATTTCGCTTCTAGGAGGGTGGAACGGTTGACGTATAAACCAATAATTGACAGAGGATCAAAGAGTTGTTCTTATGCGTCTCATTAAGATAAGAAAATGATGAAGTGAAAAATAGAACACAAAAGACAAATGGAGATGAAAGGGAAGTCCCATAAATATTAAAAGATAAAAGGAATATAATCCCAAAATCCTAGCTGAAATCAAACACGACTACATTCTTCCCGTTTTGATCCGCGAACTTCTCTCCTTCGATGTTCGATTTGATTGTCACCCACATCTGAGAATGGGCTTGGCATATTGAAGGAGGTATCGCGGTCTGCTTTCGCATCTCGTATCGCATATCCAATCCGAGTGGTTTCGATTTCAAGACTTTCCTTGCTGCCGATGCTTCTTTCACTCGATCGAACGGCAGTCTGCTGTTCTTGTTTTTTCTCATTGCTGCTCGGAATTTCAAGAACCGTCACTTTCGGCTGTTGCGATGTTGTTGACGCAGTGTCACATTCATTGACTGCGAATGTTGAGGATGAGCGTTGGGAACAACAGCTGAATAACCCGGAGCGATCAATGATTTCGGTTCCGTCTTCGAGTCGTAATCGTCGATTTGCCGCTTCAGCAGTCCATGATTCGTAAAACTTTTCGGGAGTTAATCGTTTTCGCCTTCTCACCTGTTCTTCTTCCCCTAGATAACCTCCATCCCCCGAATCCGAAGGCACTGGAGGAAACATGTGCTCAACCATATCACTCATTGATGCATAACTGAACAACACATTGAGACGTCACGAAGAGGCTTTGCATTGAATTTCTTACGTCTGAGCGTAAGTGTGATTGACATGATGTAATTTTCCTTTAGTATCGATTATAAAGACTCGAGCCTCTGGACATCCAATATGAACGTATGAACGATGGTCCTGCAAACGAAAAGCCCATAAGAATCTTGACACTCCTTGAATCAACACCCTACAGTATCACGATTGCCAAATCCTGCATAGAAGGGATTGTAGTCTCGAGGAAACAGATTTCGAATGTCTTTTAATGCAGCGATCTTGAAGACATAAGGCTTTCTATCAATAACTTCTCTTCGAAATGATGAGAAGAGTCGATCAGGACTCATAATCAACGGTCCATCTGAGAAATTGAGATAGTCGAATACAGTGAAAAAATTGGGCAGGGGAAGGCCAATGCGCTGACCTGGAAGTTGCGCTGCTTGTTCTTGTCTAAGACCGAAGAGGTAGTCACGTGTGGGATCAGCTTGTCCAATCGCTCGGGCCGTTAGATAAATGATTTTGTAGTTGTTTCGAACGCACTTTGAGAACAACCTTGCAACACCTTCATGAGACCAATCGCGACCAATAACAGGAAACAGCTGTCCCAAGACGTCCGATCTGAAATATCGAGGTGGACGGGGTTACTGCAAGGTGGACTCTCTCTTCTAAACTCACTTTGTAATTGTGCCATCGACGTCAGAAATCAGAATTTTAGTTCGAGCTGGCCAGAAGTAAATTGAGCCCTTAACGGTTTGAGTTCCTTGAAGGGAAGATGTGACGGCGTATTCGATAGAGTTACAACCAAACTTTAAATTGAGAGATTTCTGAACAAACATAATCAAGAATGAACACAATCAGTGAGAAACGATTCTAATCATCAGTCAATACCAGCTGCTCTGAGGTTGGTCTGAGCACTCGGAGAGTTCTCTTGACGGAACAGCAATCGCCTGGTTGTTTTTCCGCTTCTTCAGGTTGTGATTCTTGAAGTTGGGATTCTGCCGAAAGAAAATTGAATGAGGGAACTTCATGGGAATCTTACGTTCTTCCGTTGAACTCAACATCCACCGCATCAAGCTCTTATCTTGAATCGGACTGGCGGTGAGTTGTCTGCAGCAACAGAAGTGAAGCAGGGACACGAGGGATGCTTACGTTTGCATAAGCTTTGTGACAGAAGAAAGACTGAGCGGACGATTGAAAGCCACCCAGGATGCCATTAATGGCAGGGCCACTTTTCCGGGATAGTAAGGGGGCTGGTCGTCAAAACGACAAACTAGTGAGGCGTGATACCAGAGTGTGGGATCCTTCTACAGTACGAGGAGATGGAAACTAGTTGGTCTTTATCAACTCACATTAACGTCGTCCCAAGAAAGCTTGTTGGCAAGAAAAACTTCATTGTCTGCCTGTTCGTCATGGCGGCCACCGGACAAAATGTGGCCACAAAGACTCAGTTCGATTGCAGATGCCTCTTTTTCCCCACCATAATACTCCTGTATCAGCGACAATCTGTGAAGTGCTGACTGAATTTAATTACCTCCGGATTCGTCACAACAGCTCCATGTTGCGCGTCCTGTCCTCTGGGTGTTGACAATAACGCAATTGGTCGGTGTTCAAGATCTCTATTTTGCACATCCTCAATCCTTCTATCATCTTTAGTTCGATCGGGAATTTTGGATACTTTGCTTGAAGTACCTTCGGCTGATGGACTTGTATCCGCAGTCAGGGCGCCCTCTGATGCTGCTGTTCCTTTCAATGCTTCTCCTGAGCGATTCTCAACTCGACCCTGAACTTCGAAGTCAAACCTTGAAACTCTAAAACAGAGCTCACCTCAAATACTTCCTCCCTTCTTCGTTGTCTATTGATTCGCAAAAATACGCTTCACCTGCTCCACCAAGCTTCATCTGCAAGTCCGTCACATGTCCATTCACAATAATCGATACCTGATAAATAATCAACAATAGAAACAAACATTTAACCACCACGGGGAACTCACTTCCTTCTCTCTGCTTCGGAGAAGTTTCGTCTTGCCGAATCGAACATGGAATGGAGTACTCTTGAGGGATCCGTCTTCTTGTGGGACTACAATGACGTCTATCGATCCCGATAGTGTTGCTATATTGAGATCAAGCGCATTCGAAACACTTTCGTACAAACGAGTGAGCATCTTGAGATTTATGAAGCAATAGAGGCAAGGGTAGCTATAGCCACATACATTCAAAAAAACAGGACTAGGCACCAACAGATTTATCCTGATAGTTTCAGTCAAAGATACAGATGATTGGAATCGCAAGATTGTCCCAAACAAGGACCTGGTCCCCTGGCATGGGGACTCTTCCAAATTCCAGCAGGCTGTTTGTCTTCGTGAAGTCACATCGTCAATTTGGACTTGCCTTTTCGTCACGCTTGTATGGAACGATTTCAAAGGAAGGGGGGAAACCCTCATCCCTCCACACCCCGTTGATTAGGAGGGCAGTCAAGATTCTCTCATCTGCAGATGACAGAAATCCAAAGTTGATTTTGGGAGTTTCATTCTGGGCTGGAGTGATTGGATATTCTATTATCAGTTGGAACCGATCAGGTCCGTTAAAACTGGGAGTTGTAGAAACGAAGCAGCGAAACAAGAAGCTGCCTTTGAGTGAACTCTCTGGAGTGATTCGAACCACATTTGCAAACATAAGAACGTCTGAAACGGAGCTAGTTGGGTCATCTGAGCTTTCTGGGACCCTGTGGTCGGTTGGACTCGGCGATGGCTTGGCAATTGGAAGTCTAAACAATCAAGTGAATGGACATCGGATCAAGCAATTTGCCGAAGAGCAGCAAATTTTGGGTGTTTTAACAATCGAATTAGGAAATCTATTTCAACAAGATATTACAACTGTCTCTACAATCGACGCAAGACGACAATTCGGTATGAAGCAACAGACAAAAAATAGAATCCTGCAATATAATGAAAAAATCCTTGGTTCATTGAGTGGTGATGACTTGTTGATGATTTATTGATATCGATGATTTATTGATATTGATGATTTATGGATATTGATGATTTATTGATAGGAAACGAATTAAAAAATTCACATGAAGCGATGGATAAATGTTTGGCAGCTGTTCAAAAAGAAGTGAGTCAACGATATCTTCTACATTCTTATTATTTGATCTTCAGGTTGCTGCATTCCCTGTTATGCGGCTTTCTGACGGAAGAGTGTCTCCTGCAAGTTACGCAATGGCAGAATCCTGGATTGTTAGCACAAGCCATCGCGTCAGTCCGCTTTACTGTATCAATAGGTTTTATCTCTTCCCGCTGCAGGCTAATTTACAGATGAATGTACTGCAGGGTGATCGTGTTATCAGAGACGGAATTAATCAGAAATTCAGAGACGGATCTGAATTTTCTTTGGATGGTTTAGAATCTGCTAGGAATGAGGGTAAGGCCATCTGCATCGAAGTCATCTCCATTCATTTTCTCAGAGTTCTCATCGATCAATCCGAGAGTGGACCGGGCGAAGAAACAGCTTCTTTATAGGATTGTTGAATCTGCGCATCGATTTTCGTCCAGTAGCAATTTTCTTGATTTTTTTAACAAGCTGGCACACGAAAACTGTTACCGAACTCCTTTTCAGAGGAAGGCGAGGAGGCTTTGCCGAAATGAGAGAATAGAGTACCATGGAACACTACAAGCTTCATCAAAAAGTTAAAAGGAACGAGGCTGACAACGAAGTTTGTTATTTAGTTGAGAAAATTGAGACAAAGTTCTTCTACTTGTTGAGACAAACCGACATCGGAAATCTGCCTCATTTTGGCTCAACGACGAGTCGTTAATGATTCAACATTATTGCAACATTTGCACCATCCAAATGTCATTCAATATCATGATTCCTTCTTGTATCAAAAGACATCAACAGCAGCACTTTGCCTTATAGAGGAGTTATCGGATCGGGGAGATCTCTCAAATGAATTATCTGCACGACGGAAAGGGGATCCGGAATCATGGTCCTATCTGTCTGAGGAGGAGGCGCTGCTAACATTTCTACAACTGCTGCTCGCAGTGGGATATTTGCACGGTCAAAAATTCCTTCACAAAAACATTCAGACCAAAAATGTGTTTCTGAACAAAGGTGGCGTTGTGAAGCTCGGCGGGATCGACTTCGGCCAATATGGCGAAAAGCTCTCCTCAATGACTCAACGACTCCAGCATTTCGCGTAAGATGTAAATCGTCTCCAATGAAGCTCCATTTTCCTTTTCAGGCCACCCGAACTGTTCACGTCCCATCAAATCTCAGATAAGGGTGATATTTGGTCCCTTGGTTGCATCTTATACGAGTTATGCACACTTCAAACAATTTCATACGCTCCAAACGCTTCCACTGCACGCCTTCGATCCCCATGGCCACCAAAGCAATACTCACCAGAAATTCAAGAACTCACCTTCCGCCTTTTGAGTCCAAATCCTGAAGAAAGGCCTTCGTTTTTCGACTTAATCGCCTCCCCGTTTATTAAGCAATCGCTGCGACGAGTCATTGATCGATACAATCTTAGCAGCAAACAATCGTTCGCCCATTTAATTGTCGCACTTCCAGATGAACGCCTCAGCCCAGAGAAACTTCCTTTCTCGAAATCCAAGCGCTATGGTCTCGAGAGTCCGCCTGGATCTTCCCTTGCGACATCCAAGCGAACACCAGACTCTGAAGTGAGATTCTAATCCTTTTCTTCTGACGTGTGGCTTCAAACCACATTCTTCTGTTATCTTGCTGTAGCTGTCATCGGGACCTTTATTGTCGCAGCACAGCGCAAGACGCGACTCCAGCACCGACAATGAAGGGCAACCAATTCTAAATGTCCCAATAACGTTTCCGCCCATCACTACGCAAACAGTAGAAGTTCGCGTGTCTCCGGACGGCCACGAAAGGCGCGTCATCACGGAGACCAAAGTCACTCGATCTGTGAAAAGCTCGCGCAATAAAGGGAAACAGACTGCGGAAGTTTTTCCATTGGTGAGATCTGAATCAATTCAAAGCCAAGATATCAGGAGAACTGGATCTACTGCAAAAGTTCAGCCATCTGGGAAAAGCGTAAAAGTAACGAGAATTGTCAATAGGAGAAAATTTGTTAATGGAAAACTGGTTATGGAGACAAGAGAAGAGATGGAAGGGGGTGAGGCTGAGGAGGGAAACTCAGAAGTGAACACAGTCGAGTTGGGGGACATGAGGAAGATAAAAGAATTGGCGAAGAAAAACAGATGGACGGTACGGAATCTCATGTTAGAACTTTGATTTTTGTTTGATTGTAGAGTGCAAGAAAGGAACTTGACGTCATCAGAGTGATTTTGGAAGCGCAGGAATCTGGAAGAGAAATCCCAAACAGCGCAATCTGTCCTCTTTGTAATGAATCTCCCAATCAACATTTAGCGATCTCTGGTACGGAAGTACGAAATAGCAAGAGAAAAAATGGGACGAAAGAAACGGAAGCAGCGGCGGCGGTGATCGATCTCCCGACCGCGTCAGTTACAACTACCTCGATCTCCCAGCCACTTGTTAGTAACGAGTGCTTTGATGAAGAGGAAATTGGGACAACGGAAATTCTCGAATCAATTCCTCGAAGTCTTCTTCGGTCGAAACCTTCAAGTCGAATCGATGCTCTTCGGTCTGTCGATGATAGTCGGTCGAAACCTTCAAGTCGAATCGATGCTCTTCGGTCTGTCGATGATAAGATCAAAGAAACATCTCAGTTTCTAACATCACCTTCAATGGATGACACGAGGGATACTTTAACGAGTTCTGTCTTTAGTCTTCAGGCGATCGACAGAACGATTGATTCTCTTCCTCTGATTACAGAAGATTCAGTGTTGATTGGGACAAATGGAGATGACGCGTGTTCAGAAAATCATCAAGATGGAAAAATGCCAAAATATATACAAGACAATTTCAAGACACCGCAGAAGGATGAAGAGTTGCATACTGAAAATCTTTCCAAGCGCTTCTCAGATTGGCGGCATCCAACGCCTCTCCAATCTCCACCTAACGAAACGGCACGAGTAAGCAGCAAGCTGAAGTCAATCCTGCATTTCTGTCTTGGCAGG